AGCCTGTAAAAACTAAGATCAGTAGATCAGACTCCATTTTAAACCATGAAACTTAGGTCTGAGCTAGTCGTTCCTCCATACAGGGACTCCTTTAGACTGAGTGCTCCTGGCACCTTCTTCCAACACAGCTTGCTCATCAATCCATGTTGAAGGAGCATTAGCATTTAAGTGATCAGTAATTACAGTGTCCTACAGGACTGTAGAGAATTACCATGTCCAGCAGGGACCTGCCAAGTCCCCAGAATCCCAGCAGTGCTCAAGCATGTAGATGAGTGACCAGGCTGAGTTTAGGAACCTGCAGGCTGGGATCTTCTGTGACTTTTCCAATGGGGGTGACCCCAAAACCAGATCCTGCTTGGCCTGCCTCCCCCACCTGGTGCATCCTCACCTTTCTGCTTACCAGTGTGTTACTTCTGCCCAAGGAATCTCTCCATCCCCGCCCTCCCGCCAGTCCCTCTGCACCCATCTGTACTGTACAAAGGAGAAGAGTGGTAGGGATCCAGCCAGAATTACCCCAACATCATATCAGCCCAGTGCTGCAGCTCCTGGCAAGTCCCACTGACTCATACTCAGCATCCCACTGGCACAGTGTGGTTGGTTTTGGCCCAGGATCCCCATCCTGTGCTTTGCTGGCTGGTACCACCATGTTCCTGGTGACCAAAGGGCTCTTTCCTCCTGTCCTCTCCATCTTCTGGGCAGAAGTCTCTTGGAGATACACCCTGAAGGCTGCTTAGGTCTTTTCTTGTACAGTTGCACTGCAGACAAGTTTGCTGACTCCTTGCATGTGTCTTAATGCTCTAACTCACACTGAGAGCATCAGCTAAGGGCAAGGCTGAGGAACATCCTCGCCTGGCCTTGCTCTCCACGCTTCTGAGGGCATGGTGTCAATGGGGCATGACAGAAGCTGAAGGAGTGGAATGGTGGCCAAGATCTGATACAATACAGCTCATTTCTGCTCTGGAATGGCCACTCACTTCCCACAAAGCCTGTTCCAATCCATATGCCCAATCCTAATTACAACATGCCCTCACACACAGAGAACCAACAGCTTCACCTTTGGGCCTCACCCCTTCCCCTGCTGCTTGCTTGTGCCAGGATCCTTACACAAGCTCTGGCCAACTCTGCTCCATTAGCTCACTCCAAAAGAGGCTTGATAGAAAATCTGCTCAATTATTTAGCAGACCAACATGGGGATGATACCTGCTCAGCCTGCCAGATCCTGCCTTCCCTCTCCTCCCACAAACCCAAGGCTCAGTCGGTAGGCCTGGTGAACAGGCAGCACACAAGTATCCCTCCTCCCCGTCCCTGCCAGGCACTGAGGCTCCCTGCAACGAAGGTGCTGCTCAACTGCTGTCAGACCTGAGGGTGGGTGAGAGCAGCATGTCAGGACACTCAACAAGTCCCATGACAACACTGCAAAGACCAAAATAGTTTTAAATGAAGAAGCTGTTGTCTGTCAGTGAGCCCAGGCCCCAGCACCAGGCTGCCCTTCTCTCACCTGCTGACAAGGTTTAGCTCCCTCCCGGCAAGCCCTCAAGGGACAGGCAACTCCCATGCTCCTGTCTGTGAACTAGAAGACCCTCTGATGACAGACTCCAGCTTGAGCCAGCAGCTCCCTACCTGTGTCCTGCACTAATTCTCTGCCCCTGTTTGCAAAGTCCATTACAGAGAGGGACTTGAGCCACAAAATCTCCAGGGCCTGCTACAAAGATCAGTAAGCCTGGACAAAGTGGGCAAGAAGCTTTGGTTAACCACAAGCAGCACTAGCCATCCCCAGTGAGGAAACATTTCTTTTCTCTCAAAAGCAGAGCCTGCTCCATCCAGGGACTAAGGTGTATGATGTATCAACTGCCTCATCACATCCCAGCCTGGGCAAGGTTCTCTTTTCTTGTGCTTAATGGTTCTGATGCCAGGAGTCTGAAGCGAGAGGACTCGATGCCTGGCTGAGAGTTCTGTGCTGGGCAAGGAGCAGCTGAGGCATCCTGACAATGAAGCTGAGTGAGTTGGCAGGGCTTTGGCTCTCTACTCCCACCCATTCCCCATTGGCTCCATAAATGGGACTTCACTCCTCCACTTCCAGATGAACCCACTCTCTCTGTCCTAGGACAAAGCTTGCTCAAGTGCCTGGTACAGCATCAGTTTGCTGCGTTCGAGGCAACCAGAAAAAACACAGCAAAACCAAGGAAGTCACCCAATATCTCATTCTCTGTCATCCTCTGGGGCAGAGCCTCCTCACAGGGGACCAGTCAGGCTAACATCTAGAGTCCCAAGTAATTTCCACAGAGAAGTTCCTACATGCAAATGTGGGCGAGATAATCTCTCTGCTTTTAATTTCTAGCAATCTGGGAGTTATCAAATGGCACCTGGAAAAGATTTCTACCTGCTTCCAGCACTGCCTGGGCAGAGTGCTTCCAAGCAAGGAAAAAAGCCTGTCCTGTTATCCTGCTTGCTGCACTGAGAGGAAGAGAAGAAAGAAGCTGTCTCCTTCTGAGTTCATATAAATGGGTTTGCTCTGGAGACTGTGGTTACATATGGGATCCTTTGAGCAACAAGACCCATAGCAATCATCTCCCATGGGAGCATACAGACCCAAGGAAGATTTAAATTCTCCTTTTCCATTCCATGGACCATCCTTTTGCTCACACACGTGCAGACACTTCCCATTGCCCTGCTCCTGGCCAGCTGTTGCTGACCTGTACCATTACCCTGGTTTTACGTGACTGTGAGGATGGGGCTATGCTCACACCAAGGGCACCTCTCAGTCTTCAGCATCCTGTGGCGATTGTGCCAAGAGACTTGCAAATCAGCACTGAACCCTCAAGGAACACAAAGGCAGCAGAAAACCCTCTGTGTTTCCTCTCATATCAGCAGTTTCCCTCCATCCTATCCTTGTTTGCTGTTTTTCAACATGCCTGCACAGCACAGAACCACTCTATAAGCAGGGTACAACACTTGCACCCCAGTCCTCCGTTCAGAATGCTACAAAGAGGGTGAATGGATCAGTTTTCCCTTCCCTGTGAGGTACTCTGCCTGCAGCCATGCTGCTCTCTAGCATGAGGCTGCCCATCTCCTCTGCTTGGCTAGAAGCAGAGGGTCTCCAAGCCATCAGCCTTGATTCTTCTGTCTTGATTGACCTCAGTGGGTCCCCTGCAACGTTTGCTTGCCTTTTATAGATCTGTGACATACCAAACCTCAGATTTATTGCAGAGCTTTTCAAAACCACATAGAACCATTTTGGTTTATAGACATTTTTACCTGGGCTTTCTCCTGCTCCACCTTGTGCTTCTCCTGCTTAGCTAGGTCCACCATAAAGAGATGATGCTTTTCTTGCATCACTCCCCCATTTCGTATTTATTTCTGCTTTTCAGTGACAAAGTAGGTGACTACAGAGCCCCTGAAGATCAATCAGAGACTTGTCACTTCCAGAGGAGACAGCACCTCTGGTTTGTAACTCTGCAGCCTGCTGCTACCCCAGGCACAGAGGATGCTGTTGGCAGACAGGGGACAATGTGGTCTGGGGGCAAACAGCCCCTTTGACACTGCCTGTTTCAGTTTCATTAACCCAAAGCACAACTGGCTTTTCAGGTAAAGACACAGTCTAGAAGCTTTTTGTCTCCCCAGGACAACCTGCAGGCTAGGAAGGATGTAATTATCACATTACCATCTTCCCAGCGGTCTTCAGAGTTTGCTACACTGAGAACCAGAGCAAAAGCTTTATACCTTCCCCCCTTTGACTCTACAAGCAACCTGACCTGGGACAGATGTTCAAGGTTCAGGGAGCAAGTGAAGGCCTTCTTATCCTGCCTGGCGTGCAGGGAACTGCTTTATCACATCCCCCCTTCCCTCCAGGAAGAAGTGTCTAGTTGTTGCGTCAAATTCATGATGTTTGCCCTTTCCACGGAGCAGGATTCTGGGGGCGAGCAAAATTCCCCCCTGTTCCCAGTCCAGAAAGGCCACTGATCAATGACCTTGTGCTAAGCTGTTGGCACTGTAACACCTGGGGCTGTGAGACTGGTGCAGCAGCCACAGAGGCAGGATATAATTAGATACATTTGTGTACATCTTTGAGTCCTTCAGAGAAAAAGCCGAAAGACTGGCTGCAGGGCTGAGCTGCTTGGCCAGATGGGGCTCTGCTCTCCATAAAGCCAGAGATTATCATGTTCTCCAAATGTGAAAACAAGCAGGATATACAGCACAGAGAGAAGAGCCCCATCTTCTATAGCACCCTACAGTGCGCAGTGGCTAGGCAAGACACCTACGAATGACAGTGGGAGAGAGCAAAGGCAGAGCTGCAAAGGGCATCAGAACAGGCTTATCTGCAGGACTTGGTACAAGCAGGCACAGACACATAGAAACCAACAGGTCAGATGCAGCTCTGTCAAGCCACATCACTCCCCCAGTGCTATCTCTCTGAATAGCTGGTTACCACAAAGACAAGATCTGCTTCATCTGAAAATCAGCATCACCTAAGTGCCTGGGCAGGATTTGTCTCACTTTGTGTCACAGGTTTGGGAAGCCAGAGGGCTCTGCACACATTTGATGCCTTCCTGAGATAAATCCAGAGTAAAGGAAATTTAATGAACCCCAACCCACTGCTGTGAACTGCAGCACTGCCTGTGTCACCACATCAGCACAGCTCTTTTACATGCAACACTCACAGCCTCCGACAGCAGCTGTCCTGTCACACTGAGTGCCAGACCCCTTCCTGAGGAGGAAGGTACACATATGCTGTCAGCACAGCACCTCGTAGCTACCTCTCACAAGGGCTTTCCTGCACCACAGGAAGGAGTTTCGCACCCAGCAGCACTGGGATGCAGCTCCTGCAGGGGCATGCAGCTCTTTGGTTTCTGCATGCTCCATCACATCTGCTTCACCTCACTCTGCTGCTCCCTGCGCACCCACATCACTCCTGCAACACCTCCCATGGCACTGACTATCGCAGCACCCAAAGCAATGCCACATGCAGTGATTCCATGCTTTGGGAATCAAAAGCCACTCACCCCTGAGCATCAGTGTCCACAAGCAGCCGGACCAGTATCCCCGTCACAGCCACAAGGATTGGGTAATGGTCCACGCTCTCCAGCCCTATGAAAGCAAAAGAGAAAGGTAGAGCTGCTGCCACCGCAACAGGCAAGAGCTGCTCTATAGGAAATATAGGATGCCCATAACACAGCACCTGGAGCCAGTCTGCTACCAGACCCAACTCAGCTGCCCACAGTCACTTTCACAAAGAAGAGGGCTGATATTGCTAAGAATGGCTTCCCTCAGCAATTCAGTGCACCCTTTACACAATGCAGAACCCAGCAACCAAGCCTACTAACTAAACTGCAATCTGTCCAGGGTTTGAACCTTTCAAACAGCACCACCTAACCTATGTCAGATCAGTGTCTAGCAAGATACCTCCTCGTCCAAGCACAGCATGGCTACCACTTTAACTGCGACAGCCAGACCCATGTATCAGCTGTCTCATGGGGACAGAGATCCTGGTGGGTACCAGAGCTACTGAACAGACAGAGGTTTAGGGCCTAGGAAGAGCACCAACACTCATTTACATCTGGAGGATTTACATGTCTTCTGAAGACAGCATTCCTGTGGCAGTCTGTGGGACCAGACTGGTTTCCCAAGCCAGGGATGTGCCAGGCCTGAGGTCTAATCCCATAGACCTCTACACCAACCTTCAATACAAGCCATCCCTCACGTCCCAATAGCATTCATTCAGCATGGAGCAGGACACATTGTTGATGTACAGACTCACCTGGCAGACGGAGATTGACCACTCTGTCAAACAAGTTCCTTTCAGCTGTCACACGGTTCAGCACCTGGTTCAAGAGCTGTGCAGGGAAAAGCAGAGAGGGTCTGTATTATCTGAATGGGCCTTTCTGTAAGCAGCATCCAAACACCATGCTTTGGGGCAGCACGTCCTTATAGTTCAGGTTTGGTGCCTGGGAGCAGGTAAATGCACCAAGGGAGGCTTACAGCACAGACCTTGTTTGGCCCTGGCATGACGGAGATGGCACCTTACCACCTTGGTTGTATCAGACCCAAACCTCCTAGGGAAAACTCAGTCTGAGGTCAAGACACCTGAATCTCAGCATCTTTCACTTAAATCTGAATCCCACCTAAAGAAGCCAAGCTACTTCTGTGGATAAAGCCTCCTGGCAAGCAGAAGCTACAGTTCCTAGGACACCCACAGGCTGTGAAGAGCAGGCTAGCAGCCGCAGGCAAAAGCAGTGTCAGCAGGGTGAAGCACAGTCCAGGTCCTGCCCTGCCTGGAGCTGTCAGCTGGATGGACCTCCCAGCCCTGAAGCACAGGATGAGCACAGAGAGCAGTCTGCTGCTCTGCTTGAGAGAACATCACCACAGGCAGAGATTTCTGCCTATGACCAGCACAGAAGGAATCAACTGTAAAGACACTTCATTAGCCACCATTAGCTCTCACCCAAACCCCCAGTGGGATGAGTGGGGTCTCCTCCAGGCTTGATACAACTGCTGCAAGCTGAGCACCATCTCTCAAATGCAGCATCCCTCTTCCTGTTGCCCTCATGCACAAAGAGCAGAATACTGCACCCCTCTGTGGACACGTTCAGAAGTGGGGCATGGCTTCATAGTATCACCAGGACATGAGTGGGATGCTGCAGTGCCCTTCTCTCTGCTGCCTATTCTCCTGCTTGCCTAGACCACCTGCTAAGGGCCCCTCACTTTCCTCCTCACACAGTGATCCCTACAGAAATCCCAGGATCAAATCTGAACACTCCCCGACTGTACTAGACCCCACTATGTCCCGCTTTGACTTGTCTGCTCAGAGTCCTGAGCCTCAACCCTTGTATCAACCCAACCCTCGTAGTATAGGTAAGGTATGTACGACTGCTCTCCACCAGGCTGGCTCCTACAAGAGCAGTCTGTACTTGGGCTTTCCAGGATTGCCCATGCTTTAGAACAGAAACTAACTTACTGGAGCCTAAATGCTGTTGTAGTTTGGAACAGGGCTGTACGATCACCCCAGCAAGCAAGTGGAGATGTTTGATGCCATATCCTAAGAATGAAGGATAACAGATCAAGATGCCTGTCCAAACATGAGGGCATGATCCCTGTGAAGCCAGCTACACTCTGCACAGCAGTTTGCTCAGAGGTACCATGCTTCCTTCTCTAGATTTCATGACACTGCTTGACACAGGAGAATTCAGCATTTACTGAGTGGAAGCAACTGGTCATAGCCCCTCTGAAGGAAGATTTAAGTAGCTGTCCTCCGCCTTCCCAGCAGAGGCAGAAATCAGCTGTGACCACAGTAGTTGCAAAGGAGGGGAGCAGTTGATGTGTAGTGATTTTAGGGAGCACCACTTGCTCTGTGGCAGCTGGGTTTGCTGTGGCAGCTTTAAATACTCCAGTATTTGGAGCAGGAGTCCCCACTTCACAGCACATCTGGAGAGAAGGCAGAGGGACCCCTATGCCCTTTCACTCCACTAAAGGATGATACCTGGGCAAGCCTCCGAAGCAGCAGTTCTGATGATGGTCGATTCCAGTCAAGGAAGATCTCTGGTGCCAGTGTGACAGTCATCTCCAGCACCCTGAGCAAGCTCACTGACAGGTCAAAGCAGGTAGCACACACTTTCAGCTGCCGGCTGTCCACAAAGTTCCTCTCCAAGCGCTCTGCTGCCTGCTGGATCTGCCAAGCAACGGAGACAGCTTAACAAGGTGCCCCCTTCCCAAAAGAAGGTCTGTGACCCCAGCCCACTCAGCTCCCACACATGCGGGGGAACCACAGCACACCCAACCCTGAGAGTTGGGTCTTGAACCTTGCCGTGTGTAGGACATAAGCACTCATTGAGTACCAGACCCCTGGGTGGCACACTCACCTCCTGAATCATGCCGATGAACTCAGAGAAAGCCCAGTTCAGCTGGTTGAGGACACTGTTGAGGAAGCTGGGGGCCAGGTCACGGTCACTGCTGAGCAGATCTGCCATGTGCCGCTGCAGCAAGGTGGAGGGACATGGCTCTGAAACCGGACAGCAACAGCTTCAGTGGCCTGGTCCCAGAGTGGCCATGGGTGGGGGGCAAGGCCACGCTGGGAGCCCAGTCCTGGGCTTGGTAAATGTTGGCTTGTGTTATATAGTAAGCAGAGGTGGCAGGGCACTGAGAGCTGGAGTGCAGGGACTATTCAGCAATCTCACCTGTTGTGCCTCCAAGCGCTCCTTTTGGAATGCCAGCCTGAATTAAGCAGGGAAGAGCCCTGTTTGCTCACTGCTGCCCATGTGCACTGAAGCACTGCCCTGCAGCTCTGCATCCCTCCTGCTCAGCTCTGCAGCCCATGGTCAGCTCAGCATTAACTGTTCCTGATACCAGTGTGGCAGCAGCTGCCTGGAGCTAGCACGGCCATCCTTGGTCTCACGTGGCCGTGCCTGTCTACCTGCATCCAGGGAGGAAGGTACCTAGTAAATTCCACTCCTCAGAGGCTTCTGCATGGAGCTAGGGCTGGCTCTGCCCTGGGCAGACTCAGGCAGAGCTGCCCATGCTCTCTGGCCAGATTCAGCCTGAGCACAGACACATCCCCACGGTACACGGTATATCACCTCGGGGCTTTTTCACTATCAAGAGCACAGACAGGGTCAGACACAGCAGCTGTCAGGGTTTTGGGGGGCACTGGCCCCATGGCCACACAGGGAAAGGAAGGGGGCACAAACAAAACCGATGCCTCTCATGAGCAGGACTCACTGTCAGTGAAAGGCTCACAAAAGCATTTACCACTGCGGGGAGGGTATGAAAGTTCAAACCACAGGCTAAAATTCAGAGCTTGGAGAAAGAAACTTGAACAGATTTACCAAATACAGGGAAAACCTCCAATCTAACTACTTTTCCCTCTATTAGAAGCTGTTAGTAAGAGCATGTGGAAGCTCTGACAGCACTGTGGTGCCCAGAGGAACAAGCCATGCTGTGTCTTTGGAGTGGCAGCTTCTTGAAAGGCCAGCCCAGGCAAATGAAACACAGGGCAACGTCCACCACATCCCTAGGGATTGAGAAGCAATGCATAACTACAGGCAGATTGTTAGCTGGGATTAGCAAAGCCAGAAGGGAATGGCAGGAGACCATCAGCTCAAATAGAAACAGGATAAATGATACTGTAAATACCCACTAGCAAGTTGTTATGGAGGACACTGCTGATAGTGCATAATTACTTTGGGCAGGCCAGCACCCTGGCTTTGATCCTGCCTAAAAGCACATATTTGGGAGGGATTCCATCACAACAAATATCTTTGATGTCCTGGTCCCACCCACAAGTACTTTCTCAGCCCTTGGCTACACATGGCTCAGGGACTGCCCAAGCTAGATGTCCTTTATACATATTTAGTGGTCCTCAGTCGACTTGTTGCCCAGCATCCCCTTAAATTGTGTAAGTCTTTAGCACTGAACATATCCTGGAGCAATTATTTCACAGCCCAGTTCTGTGCAGTGGGACGAATTTGGATTTGAGCTTGGTTCCTACTCACTTTATTTGGTATTTATCCTCTGCAACCGTCTCCTGGTGGGACAGACAGCAAAATGCTGCCCTCCAGTCAATTCCTCCAGCTAGCCATGCTTCCAAGCCTTCACAATAGTCTTTTGAATGGGAACAGCCCCAGCCTGTTCAGTTTCTCCTATAGAAACTATTCCCTTTGCCATCCCTCCCCGAGCCTTGCCAGTTCTCCCAGATTTTCTTTGGAGAAGTGGAACCAGAAGCTCACACAGCATCCAAACCACAAGCATGTGGCAGATTTGCACGAAGGCATAATGTAGTTTTGGTTTAGTTCTGTTTTCCTTCCTCAGAATTGCTGTAGTGTGATTTGTTCCTTTCACTGGGCATCAAGCTGGTATTTTTCAAAAGACTGCAATAGGTTGACAGTTCAAGAGTAACCCTCAGGAACTTGCAAGGCACAAGTGGAGAAGCCCAGGAGTGAACACTGGAACCAACCTCACTGTCTTCTCTGACAGTGATGGATGATGGCGTACAGCACACCCTTACCAAATTTGCTGATGACACTAAACCAGCAGCTTTGTCCAATGTCCTAGGGGCACCCTGAGAAACTTGAGGACTGGGACAAAAAACTTGATTGTATTCAACATAAAGGAGAAAATTCTGGGGAAGAATGACCCCAAATCTCACTCCTGACTGGGAAATAAGGATTTGGACACCATTAAAGGGGTTATGGAAGATACCAGCTTGAATAGGGAACAGATGAGAGCTTGCAGCCCGCTGGTTTTTAATCACATTTTCCTTTCCCATTTATCACTCCACACCTGGTGATGCTAAATTCCATCAGCATTTTCTCTCCCAGTCATTCAGAAGTGGAAGGTCCTTTTGGAGGGTTAAGTTTTTCATGTCTTCTTTTCTCGAGCTTCCCCTCAGCATACAAAAAGTGCTTTTTATTAAAACTGCTGCCATATCAGCTTCCTTCCAGCCTTCAAATACCAAAGCAGCTCTAAGCAAGGATCACCACTCCTCATGGATGAGCTCTGTGGGCTGACCTGTTGGTCTGTCGCCAAAGCCTCTTTTACCAACATTTCAAGTCAGGACAGATCTTAAATGAATCGCCCAGCCAAAGTCTACCTCATTAGAAGGCAGCTTTGGCTTTCTGAAGGATGCTTTTATGCTTGCAATAACTTGCTTTATCCTGATTATTAGCCAATGACTATTTCCTCATGGTCTTTTTCCAATAAGTGGTATGACTTTGCTCCAAACCTCCAATTCTAGGTTCTTAAATGCTTTCCCTGCTGCTGTCGAAGACTGTGCCCATCTATAAAAGCACTAAAAAATGGTGCCCGTTGTCAAACTTCTCCACAATTATGCAGGGTTTTTTAAGGTTTTAAGCTAACACCAGGGAACAGTGAACTTCTTTCTTTGGCTTTTGTTGCTCCCAAGAGGATTCTGCATTTAAAGATGCTGCTGTCAGTGCTATTTTTCGAAAGCAACATAAGAAACCAGCCCTGGAATACAGCAAGAGCAGCTTCATTTCTTGCATGAGTTCTCAGATGAGGTTCTCCATGGTGCAGTCATTAGTGGTATCCAGAAACCTAGCCCTGGTGCTGTGTTTATCTTCGTTTGCAAGATGTTTGCCTTTGTTGAGGCATTTCCACCCACATCCCTCAGGTTTCAGTTCCCACTGCTTTCCTGGGTAATGACACATCCCCTACATGTGCCATTTCAGACAGGGAGATTGTTTCATAGGGAGTCTGTGGATACGTACTGATGTGGTTATATTCTTGATCCTGACAATAGTATGTCATTAGTGTTTCTAAAACTTGTAACTCCCTACTACAAAAACCACTCAATCTTGGCTTAGCCTTCATTATGACAGATAAAGATCATTCATTGGAACAGGTATCAGTGGTTTTCCAAGGCCAGAAAATATGACTTTAATACATTTAATGTGGGCAACAGACTATGACCCCAGCAGTTATAGATATAACCGATGTTTCCACAACAGAAACTTCCCTGCAAAAATATAAGCAAAAGAGGAAAAAAGTAATCTAGGGGTGTGTGTGTGGGAATAGTGAATAAAAACACAGAGATCTTTAAGAAGATATTAGGCAGCCAGAAAGCTCCAGTGCTACAGCAAGCACTTGTGTTAAAAGGTTTACTGAGACCAGGATGAAACAAAGACGTAAGTTAAAATGGAAAGCGGAAAGTGAACATAACCAAGCATAGCCAGCAGTTGATGAAAACAAGAAGAAAAGGGGTAACAGAAGGAGAAGACCTAAAAGAAACATCCATGACTAACCATGCTACATGCAAAGTTTCTTCAACTATAGGGAAAAAAATCTAGCAGAATTAGTAAAAAAACCCCAAACCCAGTAGTAATGGAGAAAGTCTGATAGCAGCAGAGGCCCATTAATAGAGTTAAAAATTAATAAAGCAGACAAAGTGGAAGCCTTCAATAAGTGCTCCTGCTAGATACCTGTAAAGAAGCAGGGTCATGTACTTTCATCACACAAAGATGATCATGTACTTTATAATTTGCTAATGACCCAAGAAGATTTATAACAGGGTTATTTGTGAAACTCCTTGGTCAGCAGCCCAAGGGGGGGTCTCTGGACACACTGCAGCATTTACAGTAGAGCTGACAGCATACGGGAGGAAAGCCTCAAATGGACCACATTCAGAAGTAAAGCAGCTGCACACAATGCTAATCTAAGATTTTGAAAGGATCCAGATGCAGTTGTGCAATAGCTGCCACTCAGTGTCTGTGGCTGTTGGACTGATGAAACAACAGGGAAAGAGGTAAGCTCAGGATGCAGCAATCCATATTAGCGGTAAACTGTGCCTGTTCAAAGATGTAATTAGAACACTGAAGGGAATGTTACAGGGTGAGGCAGAAGGAAAGCAAGAGGCATCACAGGGGTGAGGTATCAATAAGGTTGAGTGTAAGGCATCAGGACACCCCAGTGCACACCTGGGGCTCACACATGCCTCCAAAGCAAAGCACTGGTAAGCAGGCTAATGCAAGTTTTGGCTCCTTAACTGGTGGATCATGGAAGCGTTCCAGACAGCATGACACTGGCACCTCTGGGGCTGCTAAAACATGGGAAGGGCTCATGGAAAAGCAACCCCCCATCCTGAATAAGACACAGAGGTTGCACTTTCTTTTCACTATTAGAAAGGACCAAGAAATGAGGTTACTCTGGAACACAAGCACTTTTGAAGAACAAAATGTTGTAATGCACGCTTCAACTCAGCAGAGAAAGGCAGAGCAACAGCAGCGGAAGACAGAAGATGAGGTTAGGTATATTCCCATCATGAAAAAGTGGTGAATTTATTTCTGAGGATGAGGAACCACTATCAGAAGGGTTTGGAGAGTTCAACTGCCACCAGTTGAAGCCTTTGGTGTTGTCAGATCAAGATGGGTTTTCTTCCTGAAAGAACTCTTCAGCTTGGGCAATTTTCTAGGCTTGGAAAGGGACCATGGGTATATTTTCTGGCCTTCATTGCACCACAGCTCAGCTCAGATGATCTCATGGTCCCATCCACCTACCCTTCACTGCTTGACGGATGTGTGGGCAGAAGGCCTGGGGCAGAGGAGCCCTGTGCTGCAACCTGGAGGCACCCTGCAGCTTGGTGAAAGTAAGACATGCTGGGCCTGGCACAGGGCCACTGCTGCTGATCACTGTGTTCATGACCAAACAGCACCCGGCCTTACCTAGAAGTCATGATGAAAGTAAACCAAGTTTCCACAGCAGAACTGCCACTGCCTCTGAACAGAGTCCCCAGCTGCTGTCAGGAGCCAAATTGAAGGCAGAGCTCTGTCTGCATGAGAGCTATTTTGCCAGCAGGATTAAGGTACAACTTGGGGAGGTAGCAGGAGCACAGAAGCAGGAACAGACATGGCCTTTCTGAGCCTTTCCCCCAACCTGGGCTAACCCAAGCAGCCACCTCGCTGCTCACCATCAGCAAGTATGGGCAAAAGGCAACACAGGACTGTTCACAGATACGGCAAGGCAGCACACCCTCCCCACCTGCAGAGTCCTCCAAAGAAGCATTCCCAAAGCAGGACAAGGCTGGAGCACTAGCGAAGAGGCATTTGCCCAAGCTCCCTTCAGACTGGCCTGCAGAAGCAGCCCCAGACAAACAGGGATTTCTTTTCTGCCCCATTGTCCCTGCCAATGCTCAATTTGCAACAAGGTGAAGACTGATGGGTGGGAAGGCAGGCAGGTTATCTCCTCTTCCTTCCCTGGGTAGCATCACAAGGACACATTTGAGTCTCCTGTTCCTCTTCAATTAAATCAGCATTCATTATTGATTTGGTTGCACCTTAAAATAGCAATTCCAGGAGCAAGTCCCCAGTAGATAACCCAGCCCCCTCCAGGATCAGACTGTGCAGAGCCACCCAGGGATGGATGGAGAGAGACTTCGCAAGCTGAGGAAGTTCTGCTTCTGCTCCAGAGCTCCCCAGGACAGGTGAGCTTGGTCACTGCCCCACAGGACTGGTGGCAGCCACTCAGAAACTTGCTTGTGTGGCAGGAGGGTGAGGAGATAGTCAGCAGTGCTTCCCCTTCATCCTGCAAGGATGAGAGGAATCCAAGGCTGGCACAGCCTGCAGCAGGGTTCTGACCCCAGAAGTAACCCTGGTAAGAGCACGTCCACGATGTAGCCCTAGAGACTGCCATGTGGGCACCAGCTTGCAGGCATCTCCCAGGGACTTCACTGAGAAAAATGATCACAGTGTGGAGCCCTCTGCCCTCAAGAAGGGTCTCTAGACTGAAGAGGGGAAGGAAGGAGCTCTCTAAACCTACGTCACCAGACAAGAGATGGTCACACAACAAACTTACTCTGGAAACTAGCAACAGAGAGATCTCCTGAGCACCCATGGGCAGGAGAGAGAAAGAGAACAAGAATGCTGTTAAAACAGAGTTGAAACAGAGACTGGCAGCCCTCCCTGCTGGACAGAGCTTAGTGCACACCTCTACATGCTGCCCACCCACATCGGGCTGCAGCACCCTCTGCTCTCCAGGTGCAAGGTCTGGCACAAAGCCTTTTCCACAGCTGAGGGGGATAAGGAATGTATATGAACATGCCCAGACTGTGCAAGGGTGAAGCTGGGGACATATTCTTCAGCTCAAGAAAGGTACCTTCTCCTCTCCACATCTTTCTCAGCCATAACAGAGCTGAGGAATCCCTCAGTTTGGTAACAGTACTGAGAACCAAATTGCAGTGCCAAAGATAGGACAGGCTCCACCAGGCTCTAAGAGAGACGTCTGGTTAAAACACTTCCTGCTTAAAAACTTGCCCAGTGCCCTGTCTCCTTGGGCACCCACTCCCACTCATGGGGTACCTACTGCCTGGCACACCTATAAACATTTCCCCACAGCAGCTGTGGACATCAGAGAGCTTTCTCCCAGGCTTACATGTTGGGGAAAAGCTCTCGTAAGGATGCAGCCCTGGACCTCTCTCCTCTCCCTTGAAGGGCAGAACCTCTCCTCAGGATAGATCTAACCCACCACCCAGCATGCAAAAAAAGTCACCAGCCAGTGCAGAGAAGCTGGGGATGTCCAGGCTACAATGATCAGGCCTGGATATTTGATAAGGACTCCTCTACTTCAGCAGCCACCTCACAAGCTGGCCTGGCCCATGGTAGGGACAGCTGTGAGAGAAAAGGCTGGTCCTGCCTCACCACTCATCATAATCCCAAGTGCCCATCCCCTGCCCCACTCACTCTGCAGGCTGGGGAGGCTGGCATCCTCAGGCTTCGTTTTCAGCAGGTGTGGGAGCCTTGTATATCTGTACCCAAAGCCACAGCCCTGGTAAAAGAGATAAGAAAAGATCTTAAGAGCCTGGAAAAGAGCTGGGTTTTTCCTGCCACTGGGAAGTAAAATGCTCTCAGATGTTGGGAAGGGCAAGGACACAGGATGCTCACCCGCCACAGCCTGACAAGGATCCAGTTGGTCTGTGCCCAGGGTCGCTGCTCATAGGGAGCCAGGAGGTTCTTCATCATTGAGATCCGCCTGCCGGAGAAGGACTTAAGTCAGCTCAAAGGGTTTGGGGACAGCGGATTAAATAAGACACACAGTACAACCTACGGAGCTGGGGGAGAGCAAAGCCACTGGTATGAGAGTGACAGAAGGCTTTCAAGTCAACTCCAGCACTCTGCTGCAGCTTCTGGACCTTCAACAGTGCTTGGCAGCTCACCTGCTCCACCACCCACCCTGCCACCACTCCAGCCCTGCCCCAGCTCCCCAGGAACAGGCAGGGCAGCACTTACTGCTCTTCTGGGATCCTCTCTACAGCACGCAGTGAGTGGGGGTAGCAGACGTAGCTGGCCAACGCCTGCATCAGGGAGTCACGGATGTCTGAGGAGGAATAAGAATGGACTAGGCCGGGCACTCAAGGACATGCAGCATACCAGGGAGCACCTGAACACCAGAGGCTAGGAGAGACTGATCCTCACTTAGAGAGGCACACTATCCCAGCTGATGTGGAGAGCATGCTAATGCTCAGGCAGCTAAGGAATAACCCCAGAGTGGAAATCTAAAAATTTAAAACTAAAAAACCAAAAAGACTCTTAAAAGGGTATCCTAGGTCATGTATCTCATTCTGGAAGAAGCAGAACAGGCCAGACAAGGGCAGTGCCCACCATTTCTGTACACTAAGACATAAAGCCCTCAACAGAGTCAGCAGATAGATCTCAACAGCAGTCTGGTGAGCCTCTGGCTGTGGGATCAGCCAGACCTGCAACATTATCACTCCAAAGCAGAGAAGTGCAGTTTTACCTGTGCCCACAATCCTTGAGTCAGCAAAATGCTTGGCCAGGATGGCAGCAAGGCGCATCAGGGTCTCCTCATAGCCTGCAAAGAGAAAGAGGGAGCAGGGTTCACACCAACAGCCTAATGGGCAGTCCAGTGGCCCCAGCATTCCTGTGGACATGGCACAGGCCATGGAATTCATTCCTGCTACAACTAACTCCAGCCTTGAGGTGTGTCTAGTTGTCAAAGCAGACAGCTGGGAAAACACATCTCCCAGCAGAGCTTCTCACCTCAGTCTGCAGATTCTGAAACATTTACTCAGAGAAAGGTAAAATCATGTAACTGAGTCAGACAGCAAGTGAGAGAGGACTAATGCAGAAGAGGCTGAGCCACACAAGTAACACCCTAGATCTATGCTGAAAAGCCATGTCCAGCCTGCAGGCCCTGAAGAAATCTGCTAACACAATTCTGCTGCTCCCTGAACAGCAGGCACAGCTCCCACTTAATGGATCTGAACACTTTATCTATGTCTTATTGGTAGGACAGAAGCTCTTCTTACCTTTGTGGGCTCTGGAAAGCACAGAACTATCTGCTAAGAGCTTAGTGGGATCACTGAGCCAGGAAAAGCACAGAGAGCACACAGAGGGAATCTACCTAAACAGACTCTGGCACCCACTGGGTGGTATCTTGATAGGAACATATCCAAATCCCAAGAGGATTCAAAAGCAGTCCCAATTCCTGCACACAGGGCACTTCCCCTCCCACCCAGAAACGAGCATGTAGTGGCACACATTGCTGGGGCAGTCACATCTTCCAGCATCCCAGCCCATTCCTGGTACCTCCTTGGAAACAAAATTTTTAGCTGCCAATGATTTCCACACTGACAGCTTTGGGCAAGGCATGGGCAAGGCATGGGCCCCTCCCTGAGCACAGCAAAGGCATGGCTCACCAGTGGGTATCTGCTCAAGGAACAGCACTCAGTGCCTGCTCCACCATACACAGATAACATACTGAGGCAGCACACCAACCAGGAAAGGACACAGAAGGGATGTTGCTCAACTACCACTACTTCACCGTAAGAATGCAGCTTGCTTTACACTTTATCAGGCCAGAACTAGCAAAGACTCCTCATCCCCTTACCTGGAAGCTCCTCCATGCTGTTTACAGGGCTAAAGTAGTTCTTGAGTGCACTGTAGCTGTTCATAGCCACACTGAGGTAGAACTCCGGCATGAAAGCGAAAAGCGAGCCTATCCTGTCCCCATGCTCGATGGTGCGGATGCACACTCGCAGCAGCCAATATATATCCTGCATCTTTTCCTGGCCAGAGAACACACAACAACCCCCATTCAGTCTTGCCCAGTTTCTCTTTGGAGAAACACAACAATCAGCACCACACTTAGACCTGAGAAACATCTCCACAGCTAAGATGTTCCTCAGACCACCGCTTTAAATTCATTAACCAGATCTATGACATTTGGTCTTTTCATAAAGTCATAGAAGCATCAGGTAGAAGGAACAGTCAGAGATCTCTACACCAACCTCAAGTTCAGAGCACAAACATCACCAACGTGACATCAGACCAACTGTGTCTTCGTCTCACTGAGCCTTGAAACCCTCCAAGAACTGTTCCTTGGCAGTGCATATCTGACCACACAGGCCTGATCACAATAAAAGGCATGCTTTTATTCCAAGGACACTGGCTGAAGGAAGGCAGACATTAGCAAACCCAGCATAAATCTGCTGGAAAGAAGGCTGGTCCTCTGTCTGAATTAAACAGGAACAGGCTGAAAGTTCATGCCAGCTCAGAGCTTTATAATAGGCAGCCACAGCCTTTCGGATTCTGTGCCAGCCATTCAAGCGCATTTACTGTCCTGAGGAACATCGGCCTCTTGCTTCTCTAAGCAAAATTCAGAGGCTCCTAAATTAAAACCAGGAAAATTAAGAGCATCTACATAACTTTGAGCTATAAAAATCAACACCAACAAAGCCATAAAAAGAGGAAATACTATTTCATATCCTGCAATGCCAAGAAATATCATAAGCAACAGCAATTTGCATCAAAGTAGACGGAGGAAGGTAATACTTCTGATTTAAAAACAAATTAAAATGAGAGGTGTAGATAAGCAATTTCACTTCCTTAGTGGCTTTTCTTTTTAATACTCACTACCACCTTTGGGAGATTAACATGGGTTTGTTCTGTAAATCAGTCAGAACTAGTGCAAATCAACTAAATTTACTAAAAGACATCTTTATTTCAACACTGACACATATCTCAGCTCAACTGTTGCTTTCAGGCTAAAAAGCAGTTCTGCAGACAACATTAAGGTAAAGAAAGCTGCATTTGGTTTTATTAAGATATTTATTTGATAACCTCATAACATCATTTCAGGGATTACCAAGCTAGAAGAAAGCCTACACCAAGAGGAAACAAAGACGTGATTACCCACGTGTGATGGATAAACACAGGGTTGTAATAAAATAAGTTGAAATGGTCTTCTCACAGGGATGTTTTGAGGGCAGGATTGTTTACTTTAAGAGTGTTTGTAAGCTGTAGCACTCCCTTTTATCTAAACTTGAATCCCTCGGCTCAGAATAAACTAGTGACTAATTGCCCTTAAGCAGCAGCCTCCTCCGTGCTCTGACACCTCAGCACAGAGCAGGACTTCCCCTGTAGACAGAGCCTGTCTCTTTCTCCCCATCAGCATGAGCAGTGCCTGCAACACTCATACAAACGTGTCCCTCCACTGCACACAAGTCCCAGGGACTTCCTGTTGGAAGGATGTCTCCATTGGAGACAGCAGAGACCTGTGATGGCTGTGAGATGGAGCCCTGAAGGTATAGGCAGTATGGACAGCCTCCTCTGAGCAGCCACATTCCTCTCCAGAGCAAGCTCACTCAGCTCCTGGGGCACATTTCACAGCCCAAGCCATCTAGTGAACTGCTCTCCCTGTGGGCCATGCAAACCAGGACAGGAGCACAAGCGGAGAAGGCTGTAGCCTTCATTCCCAAATGTTGCTGATTCACCCAGAAAGGAGACACCACACTTCTGATGGGAGGCAAGCACCTGCATTTAATGATAACAGATCATGTAGAGACATGAACAGTATTTCTGCATGGGCATCGTGATGATACCTGCAATATACACTGGTAATGCCCCTCTGCCTTTCAAGAACAGTCTGGGAAGAAAGGCCTATTTTCTGGCAAGCATGGGCTATGCTAATGGAGCTCGAGAGCTTCTGCAGCACAGCACTGTGCCCTGCCGTCCTGCTCTGGGAGTGAAGGAGGGGACAAGCAAAGAGCTCATGAGTCAGGCTCAGCCACTTCAGCTCTGCCAAATGTGCTCATATGAGCTACCCATCCTGTTTACATCCTGGGACACATGCATGTTCAGGGAACCCTGCTACCACAGCATGTTCAGGAACACATGTCTTCTTCCCCAGCACAAAAAAAGCTACAGAGATGGGGCAAGGCAATATGCAAGGGAAGACAGTGAAATCAGCAGAGTGTAACAGCAAAACTGCTCATGAGAAAACACACCAGAGATTTTATCCTGGAAAATGGTGAGTGCAGGGAAAAAAAAGACGACCTGTACAAACAGTCACTGCACTATTAACTGCAGAATGCACTCTCTCTATGTGGGAACCAAGTGAAGAAGAGAACACGTGAAGAAAATCACTGAGGCTTGGATCCTTCAAATTTCAGGAAAAGCAGCACTAAAGAGATCCCCCTGTGACATACAGCATAGCTCATGGAAATGGTTCAAAGTAGCCTCTATCCTCTAGACATACCCCAAGAACTGAATCTCCCTTCTACCTGCACCCTCTGATGTCCAAAGGAAAAGCCTACAGCACCATGCACAGCTCAGAACAGACTGGGCTATGCCCTAACAAACAAAATTGGACCACATCTGGGACAGGCAGGGCTCACGCCTAGGAAGGAGTCTCTGATGCACAAGGGAAAACCAAGCCCCAGAGATCACTGGTAATGATCCAACACCAGGGAAAATGACACTTGTGACATGTGAGCCAAGCAGCACAGAAACAGAGGCACCTGGCTTGGTCTCGCCTGAGCTGCTCACATTACACTCACCTTTGAATAAATGGTGACGTTTATCCAAGCAAGGCGTCGGCTTAGGTGATTGAGCTTCTCAGAGAAAACCTTTTGGCTCTTCAGCAGTTCCTCATGGATGTCTCTCCTCTGAAAAGGGTGCAGAGATGTGAGGGCAGATGCCACTGCCATTTATAGCACTCTTTTTTCAGAGCTGGACAAACAATGCAAAAGCAAATACCACCTTGGGGCTAGCTAAGGAGTATTGGCAGGAGGGAAAGTGATCAGCAGTCTTTCTATGTAGAGAGTGGGAATCAGTGCTATAAAGAGCACTTACCAGTCTCAGCAGTAGCCTACAAGGCCTGATGCAGATGCTGGCCCGGGATGGGCAGCAGCTTTAGAGTCACCTACTGTCAGATACTTTTTTAACATCATCAGATACACTGTCTCCTGCAGCTGGAATAGGACAGCACTGGAGAGTTCCCACCACAGGAAACCATCTCCAAGGCATCTATCTGCAGCACGTGGAAGTTTGCAAGCTGCCATGGCTTGTCTGGGAGAAGCTGAAGTGGTTGCTTCAGTCCCTTTGTTCCTTGAGCCTGTGGTACAATCGGTTGGCACAGTACGAAATGCAGCTGCCAGCTCCAGGCATAGGTTACTACCCCATCCAAGACATTGGCTGCTCCAAGGCTAGAAATCACCCACTGTGCTTCATCCTTTTTGCTAGATACTGAGGCTTACTAGAGAAGGAAGCTGGGAATCCAGAGACACTTACCCTCTTTGGGCAGCGGCTGATTTTTTCCTCTGTGTCTTTCAGTGCCATGGCATATTCATTCACATCATCTGACACACCAACCATCTGAAAAACAGCAGATTTCAACCTCAAATGAGGGAATTTTGTCCTAGACATATAAGCATGCAGCCAGATCCCCCATGGAAGCTGGGAGAAGAAAAGGGCACACACAGTCACCAGATAAGCAGGAAACAGTGTAGAAGCATGGATGCTTCTGCAGAGGCATAGATTCCTGCTTACCTTCCCAAGCTGCTGGTGGACACTGAGGTTGTACATCATGATGATCCCATCCAGGACTTCTAGGAGAGAGTTCTCTGTGATGGGCTGATCTGGCTCCTCTGGGGGTTTGCCCAGTAAGAGACCCTCGTTTCCATGGCTGCCTTCAACTGCAGTGCATCCCCCAGACAGAAAAGAGATTCTCAGCAAGGCATTCTGGCACCTCAGCTTCTGCCTGCACCCCTCTAAAGCCAAAGCCCTGCTGTGTCTTTCTAACACAGTGTCCCTTCCCAGCCCATGTGGTTCACTAGATACACTTACATACCATTCCCATCTCACTGCATGCAGCAGATTGACCTGCTGGATCTGTTCAAACAGATCCATAGAATCATAGAATAGTGTGGGCTGGAAAGGACCTTAAGATCATTTAGTTCCAACCCCACTGCCATGGGCAGGGACACCACAAACTGAACCATGTCACCCCAGACTCCGTTCAACCTGGCCTTGAACACTGCCAGGGATGGAGCATTTATCACTTCTTTAGGCAACCTGTTCAGTGCCTCACCACCCTCACAGTAAAGAACTTCTTCCTTATATCTAACCTGAACTTCCCCTCTTTAAGTTTGAACCTGGTACCCCTTATCCTATCACTACAGTCCTTGATGATGAGTCCCTCTCCAGCATCCCTATAGGCCCCCTTCAGATACTGGAAGGCTGCTATGAGGTCTCCACGCAGCCTTCTCTTCTCCAGGCTGAAGAGCCCCAACTTTCTCAGCCTATCTTCATACAGGAGGTGCTCCAGTCCCCTGATCATCCTCGTGGCCCTTCTCTGGACTTGTTCCAACAGTTCCGTGTCTTTCTTAGTTGACACCAGAACTGTACACAGTACTCCAAGTGGGGTCTCATGAGAGCAGAGTAGAGGGGCAGGATCACCTCCTTTCACTGGCTGGTCATGCTCCTTTTGATGCAGCTCAGTATATGGTTGGCTTTCTGGGCTGCGAACACACACTGCTAGCTCATGTTCATTTTCTCATCGACCAATACCCCGAAGTCCTTCTTCGCAGGGCTGCTCTGAATCACTTCTCCCCCCAACTTTCTTGAGCCCTGCACATGTGTCAGAGACCTGCCTGGCGCAACATAGCAGCAATGGTGTTGCTACTGCACACATCATCATCCAGCTTGTCTGTGTTCAAAGCAAGTGTGTCTACAGCTCTTTCTGGATTACCTCTCTGCAAAGTCTCACTGCACTTGCAGAAACAAGGCAGCATCTCCTAACATGCAGAAGGTGACAGCATCCCCAGTGTCATGTTCAGGATGACAAATTAGTTAACTATGGACTTGTGGGTGTCAGCAAAGCTGGAAGTAAACAGATTGCATTCCTCTTGAGAATACTGGGAGCTGGAAGATGCCATTCTCCCAGGGATCACCTGGGCCACGCTAGCATGCAGCAGAGGTACTCACTGTCCTCCTCCGTCCGCTGCTCCACACTTAGGGTGCGCACTTTAATCTTCTCCAGAGCTCCAAGAGGCCGCCGTGGGTTCATCAGGCTGACGGCTGCTGTGCTGAGGAAGCGGTTGGCACGGCCTAAAGTGGGGGAGCTGAGCCAGCCAGGTCTGGCAAGAGCTCCTCCAATGGCGAGGGCAGCAGAGGGACGCTGGGACTGGAATTGAAGAAGAAACAGTTCTAGCTGTTTGGCTGCCCACTATTCCTCCCTTATCCCTGCAAAGATGTTGGTAAAGATGAGCAGTGGTCACTGGAAGGTGAGCAGGTACCTTCCCTATCAAGTCTAGGCCCACAGTGCCAGGTTAGCAAATGGATATTCCTTCCTCTAAGGGCACATGCCAAGTACAAGCAGCAGCTCTGCAACCAAGAAGCTGCTGTCTGCAGCTGTCTTGCACCCTTTCAAATGCAAGCACCAACACCTGCCATGGAGAGGAAGGGACGTACGTAGATCAATGGGTAGTGAGAGAGCAGAGCAAAGAAAATTTCACTGCCCAAACCTGGTGCATCCAGGACTTTGCTGATCTCCAGCAACTCTCATGCAAGTGAAGCTATTTATTTGGTTGTCCATGGACTGTTAAGAGTCCTGGCCCAGACTCTGCTTTCTTCTAAGGCAAAGCTTTTCTAGGCAGAGGCTGAGCTTGCTGTGCCAGCACCAGAGTACCCACAGGTGAATTACAGTAAATCCTGGCTCACTTGTGCTGCTGATGTTGCTGATTCCTCATCTTCATCGAGATCATCCATAGTCACTGCCTGCAGCTCCGCAGGGTCAATGAGCACATTGGCTTTTGCAGCCAGGTCATCTGCACAGAGCACACCAAAGCAGCTGTAAACACAGGAATCATTCTTTGCTTCCCATAAAACAGCCGTAGGCTCATCCTCTTTCCTGCTTCTTGGCAGTAGAGGAGGTTGCTGTACCAGAACAAGCTCACCTTCCCCCCAGCTTCCTTATGTGGAATAGGTCTGCCCTTGCTAACACAGCAGAGACAAAGCAGCAATGGGTGCTGCTCACCCAGGACCCATTTCTGTTCCTGGTCCTACCAGCAACAAATAGAATAACTGAGGAACCAGAGGACAACCACCAGGACCAAAATGAACTAGCAGAGGGAAGGAAACTCAGGGACTGAGACCATTTTTAAGCACTGCGTTCTTCAATGCTCTCCCATGATATGTCCCCGAGTCTCTAGGACTGTGACTTAGACCAGAAACCATTCTCAGCTCAGAGGAAGGCTGTGTTGATAGCTATGCTGCACAAAGCCTGAACAATGTGTCCTCTAATCTATAGCCTTGTCTTTAAAGCTGGCCAGGAAGACCTTGGTTAGAGATCAGAGGAGATGACATGGTTCTCAAGTTAAGTAATCTGATTTTGAACAGCCAGGGAGCAACCCGAGACAGTGAAAATTTTCTGAATCTTGCAAACACACTGGGAAAGGAGATCTGAGCTACAGGCAAGTGCACATGAGCCAAAAACCAGAGACAAACCAAGTCTAACGGAATGGCAAGGGGTTTCTAACCTTCCAAAAGGGATGTCTATTGTGTGAGTAGCATGCTGCATACAACCATACAGCTGCAGTATATACACAGGGCTGCTCTTGCTTGCCCTGAGTGGTACAGCAAGTAAATCCTGGACATCCTTCACACCCAGCAAAGCCAGGCAGATGGTCAGCTCTTTGACAGCTCCCAGCCCTTGGCTATGGTGCAGCAAGAGCACCACACCAGAGGGTACTTCCAGGTGACTCTGCCCCACCAGCCATATGCCCCATTCAAGGATATAAACAGTAAACTGTTCACTTAAAGGATGCTCAACCCAAGAGGGAATGTGTCTTCTTCAGCATAACTTGCATCTCCTTTCCTTAAATTTAAACACAATTCACTATCCGCAGCTTCCTCTCTCCCTGGGATGTCTCTTGAATTAACTCCATCCAGGACCTGGATGCAGCTATTGGAAGTAAGACCATTTACCTTTCAGAGTCTTCTTAAGATGAGACAGGAGTCCTCCAAGTCGCTGAAGGTCAAAATAATCCACCTTGCCATTATAGAACAGTTGAGGAGGGACATATGCCTCTAAAGCAGAGATTTGATTCTTCCATGAGTCACATACTCAGGATCCACACAGACATGTAAGTTCTCCTGTGACAGACCCCAGGGCCCAGCCTGGACTAATATTCAGTGACAACTTTTGTTGTCACAAAGCACAAGCCATTAAGGCAGAGGTGATTTCCACAGTGAAACAAGCATTAGATCCACGCAGAAACAGAAGTAACCCGTGGCCATTAACAACAAACCTCCCAGCACTTCCTCCCTCCCAGCAACAGTCACTGGAGGAAACTGGATCATCAGAAACCCCGGCAGCTCTCCATCTGGCTACTCTAGCTCTGTCACTTAGTCCCACAGGAATTATTAAGGCACTTACTGACTCTTAAGAAAAGGCCAGCCCAAAGAAAGAAAAGGGAGTGCCAAGCAGATCATGGCAGGACAGGCAAGGTAGGGTTTGAGAATGGGAAAGCAACTGGCACTGATTTGGTTTCCCCTTAATCCCACTGTCTGGGAATCACAAAACCAGACAAATATCTTCCCCTAAACTTTGACTATGGGATCATTGAGCTGCCCTTCTATAGACCCATAATCAAAACTGGACTCTGCTCCAGAGCAGACAAGGTGAAACAGCAAACAGTAGAGGTGCCCCTTTGCAAGCCTCAGGTCTGGATGTTTACTGCAATAGGTCTGCACACAGGAATTTCCCAGGGTGACCGGGAACTATGGAAATAGGGTGACAGAAAGCTCAGGCACCCATGAGAAGCAGAACATTTCCAGCATCTTGGAGAGCACTGCCAAGATGTAAGCCTTGTCCTAACCACAGAAATGCCTTCAAAGCTTCTCCTCCAGGCCTTACCTTCACTGCTCACTGTGGCTGGGCTTTTCGCCTTGTGGCCATCCCAGAAGAAACGCAGGGCAGCAATAAGGCGGTGCAGGAAGCACACCATGTACTCTGGCGGGCACAACACAGTCAAATTCTAGGGCATGAATGAGAGTTCAGCCATCAGGATAGGTGTGAAAGTTCATCTTATTCCCAGTGGACATACGGTACAAGCAGAAACTCTGGTGCTTTCAGCCTTGCTAGCATCTCTAGAATCCAGCACTGGTAGAGAGGCCAGCCCTAATGGTAGGGAGCAGTTTCCACCTCTAGAAAGTCCTGGTCACTGAAACAACAAGCTGGTCTGACAGAGGAGGATGGATACAATGTGCTCCACCATGAAATACAGGGCTGATCACGAACACAGAGATGCAGGTAAAGAAAGGGTTTCCTGCAACAGCAGATGCCTACCCAAACCTGCAGCCCAAGAAACTGCTCCAGGGCCAGAACAGTCCTTACCCAGGCAGTGAAGAGGATGCCAAAGCCAGCAGGCCGCAGAGCACTCCACAGCCGTGCTCCCTGAGAGGTTTTAGGAGGTCATTCAGCTCCCACCTAAGGCTCTGCCCAAGGACGACCTTCCTACAAATGACTGCATAGGACTTGGATAAGTTGCCTGGCTTCTAGCCTTAGACCTTCTCCCCACTCCCTGCCGTATCTAGACCTCAGTTATCAATTGCTGGAAGCAGCCTGGTCAAAAGGGCTGAGCTCCCAGTCTGAAGGTGCCAGAGAGCTCTCAAGATGAGGCCTGAGGGAAGGATGACCTTCTGACTTACCCCTCTATTGCTAGCATTTTCCTGAAGAAACTTGCGGAATTTGTTTAGGAAGATGTATCTGGAGGCTTCCCCCTGGCAGGAGGAAAAGCAGGTGGTAAATCTATGCCTTAAAAGTCCTGTGATGTGGGGATACTGCAGCGAAAGATTCACAGAGTACTTACCCCTCCTCTGTCCTTGTTGTTCAGCAGCAGCTTCAGAATCTGAACCTGGAGACCTTCCACCACTAAAATGGAGACAACATCTGCCATCAGAAAACAAGCACTCGAGAGTAACTACCCATACTAACCCCAACTGCAGTACCACGTCCCCAGGAGAAAGGCCACCTGATCTGCAGAGGGGCCCAGGAAGAACTGGTGCCAGCAGAAAGCTGATCACATCACTGAGAATTTTCTCTCCCACCACCCAGCAATAAATCCATCCACATAAACAATACCCCTGAAGGCGAGTTTGGCCCTGTGGTGGGATGCTGCAGGTCTGTGCACATGGGTCCCAGCACTCTTAACCCTCTAATAGATAATGGCATGACTAGCCCCCACCTCTGCAGCACATCCCATCCTGGCAGGAACACAACTGGACTTCACATTGTGATGGGAATTTAGAAACAGCTCAAGGGTTGGTCCCTTTTACTGAACAAAACATTGGGGATCTTGACAATTTCCCTTCTTCCTCAGAGACCTTCAATGCGTTTCTTCAGCCTCTGGCAGCCTCTCTCATATGCCCGCCGCCTCAGTCTCTCCTCAGCACTTTCCTCCTTCACCTCCTTATTCTCCTTGCCCTGATTGGGGGACAGACACTGATTACTAGGAGAATTCTTCACAGGGAAAACATCTTGCCAAATGGAGAGCAGAAACTCCCTGAAACAACATACCAGTGTGTGACTGGCAGCACACCTAAAGAGGCCTTCCCTGGCCTTGTAATGAGTAAGGGCAGGAGATCTTTTGAGGATACCCATGTCAACCTGGAATTTCTTAGATGCTGTGAGATCTGTTGCCATAGAAAATGCCCCCCTTCTCTGTTCTAAGCAACACACTCCAAACATCTCCTCTAAGGTGACAGTAAAGATGACAGCACAATGGACAAGCTATAGCTCTCACACAACTCTGAAGGATGCACCAGTACTAATGCAGCTGGAAACATCAGCCAATCAATTTCCTCAGCCAGAAAATGATGGGGCAGCAGGCCACAGAATTTCTTCAGACTGCTTAGTGGAAGTGCCTTTACTCACCTCCTTGGTGAAGCGGTTTGGCCACCATGTGGTTGGAATGAGCTCCTGCAAACCAGCCTCCTCCACACGCAGCGGGCTCTTAATGTAGAAGAATACAACAGAACGGAGCACATCAAAGCTGCAGCCAAGTTAAAGCAAGCACAGAAGCTACGTCAGGACAATATACAGGGTTTGTTTCCAGAGCTGTAGTGAGAGATTCCTTTCCAAACAACCACTCAAAGGTCTACCAGATCAAGAGCCCCTTTCTCCTGGGAGAAGCCCCAGGCAGTTATCACAGCAGCTGGACTGCTCTGAAAGCATTTTTGCTCTAGTGACATTAGAGACGTCAGTCAGGTAGAAATGAACTGTATGACACTGCTCCACCTCCTCAAAGCAGGACCTTGTAGAGAATGGTGTCAGACTGACAGGGGAAACCTGAGCAATTAAAAATGACTTCTCAAAGACAGGTAGTTTCTGCCTCCCAAGACCTTCAAATCCTTGAAGCCTCCTGGCCTGCATTATTGAGGGCAGGGAGAGGCACAAAGGATACAGAACATTGCTGAGTAAGTATTTTCTGGATTTCTCATGCTTCAAGACTGCTATGGTGAGCCGGAGGTAGTGAATCTAAGGAAACAGAAAAAGCAAAAGTGACTCCATCTGCAGAAGAGGCTATGACTCTCCAACGGATCCAGTGTGACAGAACCACCATCTCTAGATCAAACAACTGCAAAATCCAAAACATCATGTACCTTTGGACAAGGGGACATAACAGATGCTGCCTAGTCACAGATTCCTGGGGATTCAGAAGTGCAACTCACTTGTAATCCCAGGTCTGGGATGATGGGGGAGAACCTGTAAGCCCGCAGCAGGGACATCAGTAGCTGCTTGAGGCACTCGTGCACTTCATACTCCTGAGAAAATAAAAAACACATTAAACAGCAGCAGCATCAAGTAGGGAACAGCTACAGTTCCCAGAGCATGACCTTGGAGGGAAGCATTCACTTCAGATCTGAAAAAGCAGGCGCTCTGAACCCATAGTGGCTGTCCACCTGCCTCCATAGGAGAGTCCAAGCAGAAGTTGGTGCCATCGCTTTGCTACAGGAAAACATGCACTAGTAAAACAAACCCCAAAATCACCTAAAAAACCCCCGAAGTCTCGGGTCCTCTGTAGCTGGGCAGTCTCCCACCTTCGTATCTCTGGAGCTTATCAAACATACCATCTTTGACAACAAACTCAGAAAGAAGAGAAGTAAATGTGATGATGAAATTTTTTGAGTCTAACTCATAGCCAAACAGCAGAAGTCCAGTGCTGTTAATTGTCCATCTGTTAATTGTTACCCCAAAGGACAGACATGCTGTCTCCAAGCAGATTTCTGGCAGTGATTGGCTCTGTGTAACTACCCCAGCCCTCCAGCAGCAGCAGCTTTCCAGTGGCTAGTAAAGGCTGCCCCAAACAAGTGTCCCTTGAGTGACCACATCCAGCTTGCACACAAAGGGCCATGGGAAATCGGAGGTTTTTTTGCCAGTGGTGCTGGAGGTGGTGAAAGTGCAGTGCCCATTTCCACCCCAGTCCTGCACACTGTGGTCTATCTCCTGGGGCACATGGTGGAATTTAGGACATCCACAGTCATGTAAGGATCAAAAACACCTAAGAGACCAACTCATTTCTGATTGATAAATTTGAAGTTCTCAGAAGCAGGAAGTTACTCAACATAACCAGCTCCTTTGGCAGTAGGAGAAGCTTAGAAATGCCTTGTAAGCTCTTTGCTAGTATCACCACTACCATTCAGTATTGAGTCATTCAGTATTGAACCCTGTCCTCAGCACAACCTCTTCCCAGGGTTTCCTTGTGATCCCTGGGGAAGAACCAGCACCCTAGCAACTCACCTCCATAAGAAGCCACATGAGATCCAGCAGCTGCTGAATAAGGGGATGGGACTCCACTGCCCCTCCTCGCTCAAGGATGCTCAACAGGAAGGTCATGAGCACATCTTCCACCAGATACACCTTGCACTAAGACAGAGAGCCATGTAAACAGTACTCCAAGGCACAGTCACCTCCCAGAAAAAGCTGAGGTTTATCTCCCCTTGCAAGCACAGTAACAGGCATCTACAGAAGCTTTTAATACATGGATAAAACTCACCAGAAGAGGGGAGAAATAATTGAATATGTGGGCTAATGTAATCAACACTGTGGGTTCTCCTTGCAGCTGCCACATGGATGTGTCCTTTTCAACCAGCTTCCCCTCCTGCAATGACAAATGCAGGTAAACACACAGCTTGGATCCAGCCCAATCCACCAGTCACCAGTGACTGAATGAACCAGAGGGCTAGGGCAGCCACTGTTTTTACAGGCTGAGTGCAGTAAAAGCCTTGAACATGGGAATTCAGGAAGGCAAAGCAGTCAGGCTCATGCCTCTGGAGAGCTGTCATGCAGTAGAGATGTCAGCTATTATTAACCACATGGATACACCTTGATAAGGTTTTTCCAAAAGGGTTTTAAGTGTAGATGATTCACAGGTTGTAAATGGGAATCCCTGCAGAGGAGGTCAACTAGTAAAGCAGGTCTCCATTCAAGCCACAACCATGGCAGATAGCATAAACTGGTCAACAGTGCCGCAGCCAAAACAGTTCTCAAGGCAGACCTGACAGAATTTCACCACATCACTAGGAAAGCAGTAAAAAGTTTAGAATATGAACAAGCTTCTCTCAAGGCTGCAAAATTAAATCCAACAGTTCTGACCCTGACAAACACCACTTCTTGTACACTGGGAATGACACCTCGCAGGACTGAGAACAGTAAAACCCAGTATGATTTAAATTAAGTCCTGGAACTATTAGGAATCCCATTTTGTAAGCCAACATGCACAGCTTATGCAAAAGCATACAAACATTTAGACTCCAGCTACGTGGAAACATCTGAGCTGTTGGCATGTGCTGAGAAGTGCAGAACCACATTTTCCAGTGTGGTGCCCCACAGTTCCACCTAGGAACAACAGCTTACTGTCACATCTATTCCAATATGGATCACATTCTTCAAGTAGCCTAGCAGCTTGTGAGCCTTCACTAGATCTGCAGCAGGAGGATCTTGCAAAGGGCAGTAACCTTCCACTGGATAAGTAGGCAAGTGTTAAGGTAAAATGCAATCTGATCCTTTCAGGACTTCTTTTGTTAATGCAAAGAAAAGACTGAGTCTCTATTTTACTTCATACCCACACATGCCCCAGTCACAGTTCAAACCTCAATGCCTTCTAAATGGATGGTAAGCCACAAGCTCTTATCCCCACTTCCTCAATATTGCTAATACCATGCCAGAAGTCCCGTATGAATAGGAAGTAGAAAAGACCAGTGGCCAAGAGGCTCACCAGTATTAGGGTTTCCAAAACTGGACAGTGAGACTATTGAAGGATCAGGGTGTCTGGGAACAGGCAGCCCCAGGCTGCAGCAGTAGTCGCTCATCCAGAGCTGAAAGCAAAGCTCATTTCAGAAGCTGTCAGGGACCAGCACTCATGTTTGTGTGCCCTGCAGTTCTGCTCCAGCTGAGGATGTATCTGATTCTTGTCTCCATGACCCTGCCGTGGGAACAAGTGTGAACAGAAGAAAGTGACCTGCAGTCAGGTATGTATATTTTTCAGCTTCCAGAGATGGTCTCAGGACATGTTCTTCTCCCCTCAGACCTCCTCTCTGCACACATAAAGGATATCGGAGTGGACGGCTTCCAAAGTTAAAAGCCACGGATTCTTTGAATGAGAGACTGATGGCAGGGAAGTAAGCCATTCCAGCACCCCTCGTGATGTTATCAAAAGCAGTCCCCAGAGACATGCCATTCCTGAAAGAAGGAAAACCCACAATATTTTAGTCACAACAGGAGGGTTTGAGGTCAACTGGGCAATCCAGGTATCTGTTTTCCCCTCCCAGCAACATGGCAACACAGACACACCAGTCAGTCATGCCTCCCATCACTCTTAATCTGCCACACATGCAAACACCACAGCTCTGCTGAGTAGCAGCCATGAGAAGCACATCAACACTCCTGTTTTCATACAGGTAGGCACCGGAGTCTGAACAACGTGCAGAGCCCATGAAGCTTCAAGGGCAACCCAAATCCTTACAAGATAACCAGCAGGTCATTTGAAAGGCAGGTGAGATTTTTGGCCTCATCCACTTATGCTGGTGGAGATAGAAGGATAACGCTCTCAATCTACTCTTCTCTCAAAGATGACATGGAGCAACTAATAGTTTTAAATTCCATCTGACTTGTCCAGGCTGTAGTTTACGGACAGTGAACAATTCTTATTCAGCCTGGCCTTTCCCGTTGAACATGGGAGTTGGAGGCTAGAGATTCATCAGACTTTCCACTGCTCCTTGTGAATCTAGGACAGGCAAGGTCTACAGCAACCACAAAAGCTATCAGTGTGGTTCAGCCAGCTGTAGTATTAAGCATCAAAAGAGATGCCCTCCCCTCCAAAATCCTAGCAAACTCTGTAGCTTGAACACCTTTCTGCCAAATGCTCCCACCTCAACTTAGGAGACTCAACAACCCATTTAGATGGTTTCTGAATGTAATGCAGAAAAGCAACAGGATGGAACTACCAAGGAACTTAAAGGGGAGAGGGCAGAAATAGGGCTCAGCAATCTGCTAAGCAGTGAGGAAACTTTGATGTTTCACACCACACAGACATCAACAAAGCAGGCAACTGGGCAAAAATGCTTACAAGCAGAAAGCAATGGTGCCCTCATCAAGGTCTATCAGACAGCTGACGATGTCTCCTGCTGCCCAAGACTGCAGTAAAGGGAGAGAAAAGGTTAAATATATATCCGGGGTGTTCCCACATCAAAAGAGTGTCTGAAACACAACCAATCCCATGGGTTTCAGGGTTGAAGAAGAGAGAGCTCCTTCTCACTCCAGTTCACACTGAATTTTCTGAAAGCTGCATGTAAGCCACTGATTGGGATCTTTTTCCCTCCAGCAACAGGAACATGCACAGGATCAACACTGCATCATCCTCTGGTGTGCTACAGAGAACCAAAACCTTCCAGAGACCAACAGCAGCACTATGCTGGGCATCAGTCTGCTGAGGCTGCTAAACAAAGCACCCAGACAGCATGTCCAGCAACCTTAAAGTACAAACAATTGCTGGCACTCAGCCTCTAAAAGAACAGAGTGAAGCAGGAAGGGCAGCTTGAGGGTGTTCCACAAGGCCCTGGAGAATCAGTGAGCAGAAACCACCTGTTTCCTTCTGATTCCTCTGCAACCCGTTTCTGGGAGGACGGCTACTCACTTTGCCATAGTTGGTAGTAGTCACGTTCCACTTGCGCACCCTGTTTCCATCATATGCATATGAATCTGGTGTATCTCCAACTCCTTCCTGCACCGAAGTATCAAAGAGGAGACTCAGACCAGACCAAGCATGGGGGATCCCTCTTACCGCAAGGGCATCTTTAAGGAGGAGACCAAATCAGCTGACAGCACACATGTTCTACCTGAGAAAAACCCTCATTCTAGGTATAAATCCAGTGGCCTGTGATCCGTGGCTCAGAGAAATACACCACTTACTACTCATTTTGAAGTCAGAAGAAGAGTACTGGCATCCTACACTTCTAATTTCTGCCAAAGCAGCCCAGAAGAATGACCATCACCTCCTCCCTCATATGTTGCAGAGTGGCAAGTTAATGAAACTGCACCTGACATCCCTTCACAGCACCAAACATCCCAAGAGCTGGCCTGGGCCTGCCTCTCCTGGGCAAAAAAACCCTACAGCGCTAGCTGATGAGGGCCATCCCAACAGCCTGGCTGCCAGCACTGCAGACACGCACCCTCTCCAGAGATGATGCCAGCAGAAAGTCAACACTTTGTAGCTATGTGCAGCAAAAGCACAGCAACACACCCAGTGTAGAAGACTTTCACAGCCTGCACCACTCTGTGAACACAGACCAGAGAGTCTAGTGAAGATTTCTAAACCAGCAGATCTTGTATTTCTAGTGTGTGTGCTGGGCACCACATGCCAGCAGGGCAGGAGCACAGCACCAATGCAATGCTCCACACTGACCTAAGAAGCAGTAGAGGAACACAGAGCAACCCTGTGCCACGTGCAGCAGTTACACTACCTCCTGATTAAATTTGCAGTTGAGAGTACACCAGCCAATCTGCATGAGTCCCTGGGAGGAGATGAGCACCTCGTAAATCCATTTCCCTGAAAGAAAGAGATGCCACACAGTGAATCCCTGCTGCCTGGCTCATTGTCAGAGAAGCCAAACCTGATGCTGCTCCCACAGAAATAAACGTGATACTCAAAGGAGCTTTGAGACATCCCCAGCATGCCCCTCCCACCTCTTGGCTCCAGCATCACACAATCCTCCATCCTTCTGACTTCCTGGAAAAGCCAGCGGATGAAGGTGGGAAGAGAAGGCTCAAGATGTGAAACACATTCAAGATTTCCTGAGCTCTCTAATTGTGTAACTCTCCATACACTCTTCCCAGGTTCTTTTCTCAACACATAGCTGGTTTATCTCCTTACCTTTATACACGCACGTCGTGGCCCTGATGGACCCAAAATTACTGTGGCCAATCACCTGGACCAACAAACAAAAGATATTTTGAAATCAGGCAAAAAGGTAGATGGAGAGTTATTCACAAGCACAGTGTAGGAAAGAGATGGAACATCCTCCCCATCCCAGTAGCTGTACTCAGAGCCCTGGGAAGACATCCAGGTCCTTTCCACAGCTCATCCATACTCAGTGAACTGCAGTGAAGCATGCAACATGGCAGCAGTACAAAGGCAATGTCATGAATGACAGGTTCCTACTGAGATGTGACAGGTATTCAAAAGTGACTATTATATACAAAAGACATCTGAAACCTGGACAACTTAGAAAAACCCTACAGATTCAGGACATCCAGACTAAAGGCAGAGGAATGGCAGGTAACATAACAGACCATGAAGAAGAGGTGAAGGTAGCAACAAGGAAATCACAGGCAAGTCAGCCTGATCCAGCATGAGGGTAAATTCTAGGTACAGCCAAGGTAAGCTACAGCAGGTGGTCAAAGGGAAAAGGGAGACCAGGGCAGCCTCCCCTGCTAGAAGTAAAAAACGATACACTGATTAAGGAGGGAATGAGCACAGGAACACTGTTCTCAGTGAAGGGGTGAAAGGAGTGCAGAAATCGATCAAGTAGGAAAGGATTCTTTCCACTGATTTACTGCATGAGGAGCACCACCTAAGGAGCAAGCAGCAAGCCAGTGGAAACAAAGGAGAAAGGACAGGCTCAGCTTCAGCCTCTCGCCACCAGAAGAGAAGGAAGAAGCAGTCTGCTGAAAGTCTGGGCAGGAAAGCTGACTGCTGGCCTTTGCTTACAGCAAACTCTTCAGCAAGCCCTTGGACCAGGGTAAACCTTTCAATCCCTCACAGCTCCACTCAGAGCTTGCTGAGATTTAGGGGTACTGATAGACCCAGAAGAGCTCATTTCCTTCAGGATCCTGCAGCCTTCTGGGTAGACTCCATTTACAACACACTACAAAGCCAATGACAGGGATCTGTTATGAAGAACAAACCAAGAAACCCCAAGTGCTTTTAGTTCCACAAGACCATTTTCTGCTGCCCCCAGCACCACACTCACCCCAAGTAAGTCATCATCCACCAGCAGAAGCCCCTCAAAACCACTTGTGTGGTCCAACACCACAGTAGATGGACCAAGCCGGCCCTCTGCTACCTGATCTGAAACAAGAGTTGCAGAAAAAAAACTTAGGGAAAGTTGTGCAGGATTTAGCAGTACAGCTGATGAGTGTCTCCAGGTAAACCTACAAGAGCACCTGGATTCTGCTGCAGTGGAAGAAAACTAAGCTAGCATTACCCATGAGAACCTCTGGAAAGGAGACACCAGTGACATTTAAAAGGAGGTTTTCACAGCAACACACAAGGTCTTAGCTATGCAACATGCAGGACATATGCTAAGTTTTCCACATCACATCAAAATCTTACTTTGGCAAAATTTAAAGACCAAACTAAACTCTGAGCCAAATATTTCGCCAACATATCACACTTTGATTGAAGCCAGCAAGAAAAGTTCTTTTTAAGAGAGGAGCCAGGTTGTATCCTGCCACATCCTGACTCATTCAGGGAAATGGATGCTAGCAAGAATACAGGCAACAGCCTGAGGCCTAAAGGGAATACTTACAGTGGAGACCAATATGTACAATTGTCAACAAGCCTCTGCATTTCCCACTGAGGAAAACGCTGCATGTTGCTGGTCACAGCAACGGCTCTGCTTCTCATTACCAGTGAAATACCTTCAACATTTGTCCCCAAACTGTTTTTCCAGGCATTTTCACCTGAAAATACACCCCCTGCTTCCACCAGCATACCTGCTCCAAGGATGGCTGATGAGCCCCTCACAGGCAGGATTTAAAGGTACAGTAAATTAGAGCACAGGAGAGCAGAACAAGGCTCACTCAGAGAACTGCCTTTCATGATACAACTTGTCCTCCCAACTAAGCAGTACAAGCAGAAAGTGCAAACCAGACACTCGGTGTCTCCTACCTCGACTGTCTTCAGAGCCACTCTTCTCTGCTAGCAACCAGTCAAGGTGCTCCTGCAGGTTCTGGAACGTCAGGTGTTTTCTGGGGAATACACATGCACAGGAGCTATTCAGAAAACTCTGTCTCCAAGTTTTAAAGAGCTGCAGCCCACACACATGACCACACAGTCCTGTGCTGTGAGACATGAACTGGAAGTTCCATTGATCTGTATTTCTTGTGACGAATCAGGGGAATTTGCTGCTCACCACATCGGGGCAATAAGTGAACTGAGGATTCAATATAGCAGGAACAAGCAAAGCAGCTAACAAAGAATCTTAGAGTCTTCAGTTTGCTCAGGAGTATTTTGTGGCAGTAAGAAAGCATGCTTGGGCAACAGCCAGAACAATTTTGTTTGCATACTGAGAATTCTCTCATGCACCCTCTCTGGGCCACTACTTTAGAGTACTTTCTCATACTGCCCTCGTCTAGTTCTTTGTCTTCAAGGCTAGTTCATTTAGCTGTTCCTTGTAAAAGAGCCATCCTAGACACCTGACTCATCCTTCCTCAAAACCCCTGCAGCATGAAAATACCCTTTTGAATCTGGCAAGACGAAAATGATATGGTACTCGAGATGAGGGTAAACCACAAATTTACTCATGATGATTCTCCTTATCCCTTTCCTAACAATTCCTGACTTCCTATTTTCTTTTCCTGACAGTATGTCATGCCAATCTCATTCCACTGTAGTAAAGATCAGCCCAGGGCCCACCATTTTATTCACAATATTGAGGCTGTTCCCCTTTCAATACATCACTTTACACTTCCATCTGTGGAACAATGTCCCACTTCTGCAGGACTAGAGCTTTTCCTAAGACTGTGGTGAGAGACTTTTTGAAAGCCTGATGGATGTGAAGATGCACAGAAGTGGAATCAAAAAATCAGTTTGGGTTGCCATGAGAGAGGGTGCCTTCCATGGAGCAGTTTCATCAGAAGCTAGCATGGAGCAGGAGTTCTGGAAGGAGAAGAGCTAGCCAGAGAGATGTCTGCAATGAGCTCCTCTGTGAGGAATTTAGGCCTCTGAAGACAAGATGTCATACAATAAAATTTCTCTCATATGGCAAATGTTATTTCAAGACCTATTTGACTGCTACTGGCCTTTCTACCAAATAGCCAAGTCTAGGCAATAGGCTGGAAGGAAGAAAGGAAAGAAAACAGAAAGCGAGAGACCAATCCAACAAACTATCAGTTCTGAGCTTTCAAGACATTAATCACCAGGGAAAGAAATTCAAAATACTGAAAACCAAAACACTCAGGCAGATGGAATATTCCAGCTGGCAGGAGAGCTTGTGGCAAACCCCTGCCATAAGCCTCGCTCTCCAAGAGTGGAGAAGGCCAACAGCTATTTTTAGCAGCTCTGAGCTCACATTTGAGCTGGCAGTACTAAGTATAGCCCCTGGAATGTGAGCCCAGCCACTCTGCAGCACAGCCAACCAGCAGGAACAACAGGCCTACCTTGCTCTGCCTTCCCTGAACCTGTCTGACTTGCCTCAGGCAAAGCAGCTAAATGCAAGGGAAATTTTTCTCATCCAAAGCTACAAGTTTCTGGCCTACAAGGTGAAGAACTGAAAACAAGTAAAAGAAAACAGACACTAAACAGGAATTTTGTGATTCTTTTCCTTTGCTGACTCCTAATAATAAAAGTACCAACAGTTCCACAGCCTGAGAAATGCATGGTATTCTATATATCAGTAATAGCCTTGACTTTAGTTTACAGGGCACTGACAACCTGTTTTTCATTCTTGTACCTAGAGCCTGGGCATTTTGTACTTCCTTACAAGTAAAGACAGAACAGAAACAATCAAGTGAATGCCTATCTGCCTGTTTATCTCAGGAAAATTGCCTAGAGACTTTGTGTATGGGTTGGGTTTTTTTCATGCAAAAACAAATCTGAAGAATCCTTCCTAGCAAGCCCCGCAATTTGAAAAAGCTATTAAAAGATGAAACCCAAGAATCATTTCTATACCTCAGGGCTGCTGTGCTCATAACAAATATCACTGTGTGGCACTAAAATACCTTTCCTTCCACCACAGTGCTGTATATAGCTGGGCACTGATACAGCATCACTTGCTATCTAGTGAATGAGAAGTCCAATACCTGTAAGCAGCTGCAGGCTGGTTCCCATCAGCACTGGTAAAGACACAATGCAGGTAATCATTCAGCAGCCTACTGTTCACGATCCCTTGGGAAAAACAGGAAGGAAATGAGCTGAGGGAGGCAGGAGGCAAACTCAAACATTAGTTTCACTTGTAAGCAAGAAACTGGTAACTATGGGAAAATCATATTCAAGTTTGCAGATAACACAGTGGAAAACACAGCTTCAAGAAGTCAGTTCTCATCTCACTGTCTTCACCAGCAGCCCCGGAGTCTGCATTTATCGGGCACATCTCCTCAACAAGGGCTCTTTCCAATTTGAGCTGCTCTACTATAGCAAATGGGAGGCTCTAAGTTGGTCCCCACAAGTGGAACTACATCCTCAGGAATCCCACTGGTGCAACAGTGCCCTCAAATCTGTGGTCTCCTTTGACAGATTTGTGGTCTCATAAGCACAATTCTGAGGGATTGGTGAGTCCAAGAGAAAACAGACTGCCTAGCAGGTACCAAAATTTCCCAGAAAAGGATTAATATGAGAACTTGACAAGCTGTTCATCCTGGAAGGGGAACTCCCAAAATCAGATGGATGAAGGCAGGCAACAACACATTCTCCAGCCTCACAAGACAGGGCTGTGTGTCAAAGAAACAGCACCATGACAGGACTTTTTGAAGTCCTTGTTACTACAGGAATGTCCCTCCCAAAATCTCAGTTCACGAACTTACTCAGTTTCAGCTTCACCACACCTCACATCAGCAAGGTAACTGCAACTGGAAGGCAGCTGATCTCAAGTGAGGCAAGGGCTGCTCACCGGGTCCACAGCGGTCCTGCTTTTACCCAGCACATACAGGCCCATACCTGTAACCTTGGACTTCTCTGGCTCGGTGCTCAGCCTGTAGTTCTTCCTCGAGAAAGAAGTTCCAGCACCTTTTGACGTCATTCTATACAGGCACCACTCCCAGAGTGGATGTAAGACAGACAGAAGCCTAGAATAGAACTGTCTGGGGAGGATGCTGCCTTTAGTCTTCTTCCTTTCTCGGATGCTGATGTACCTGGATTTAACAGCAGGGATAAGTCAAAATATAGCCAAAGTCCTTGCACTGACATCATCATACAGGAGACCAAAGCCAACTAACTGCCAACTCTGCCCTCAGCCCCACCCATCCAACAACCCAAAATCTTCCCAAAGCAGAACAACGTATGAAGCCACACTCCAGACAACAACACAGACACGACTTCAACCAAGGGCACAGGCAGAACCAGGCCAGAAAGAGGCAACCTCTGCACCAAGGTTGAGCTAGAACCACTGAGCCAGCACAGGGCCGCAGGTACCACAGCTGCCAAACACCACCACAACTGGTCACCGCATGGCACTGCTACTCATGTCCTGATGAGACAACTCTGCCTTCCTCTCCCACTCTATTAAGAGAGACACATGCACCTGGTTAATATTCTGTTTAACAGATAGATTATTATGCTACCAAAAACGGAGAGAGAGGGAGAAGGAATGAGACAAATGCAGATCACAGAATCACAGAATCACAGACTGGTTTGGGTTAGAAAACACCTTAAAGCTCACCCAGTTCCAACCCCCTGCCACAAACAGGGACACCTCACACTAGATCAGGCTGCTCCAAGCCCTGTTAAACCTGGCCTTGACCACTGCCAGGGATGGGGCATTTACCACTGTTCTCAGCAACCTGACCCAGTGCCTCACCACCCTCACAGTACAGAGCTTCTTCCTCATACCTAACTTGATATAAGCTGGATGAACTGGACTACAAAACAATGCCACTGACTACAAAACCAAAGGCCCAGCTGATGCTTTTTTATGGACAAAAGCAGACGCTTGTAGAAATACACAGAAGGGTTTACAGCCGAAAACCTACCATGAGACTAAAGATTCATGACCCTTCCTGGTATCACGGGAATGCAAAGTAAGCTATCAGAGCTGATCTGACATCATGCGTCAGGACAGAAAGAATAAATTCAAGGTGCTAGTTCCACCCAGCTTCAGAAGGTTATGTTACACCCCTCTCATGTTCCTGACTGCCTCAGCAGCCGACCATCATGAGAAGTCTCTCAATCACTAGACAGCTGCTGACAAAATGCTTTGTGGCATGCAGACCAACAGGAAGATGCAACAGGAGCAAAGGCTGCCACAATTAAAGGCTTGCTGGCAATCTCAAACAGAGCTGAAGCTAAGCTGAACCCAAGAAAAGTTAGTGAACTCGTGAAGTGACAAAAGTGCCTCGGCAGCTCCACTGGCAGAAGATCGCTTGAGTTTCAGCTAGACCCAGGAGAGCATTTACCAAAACCCCTTTCCTCAGGGCCACCACAGCATCCAACTGCAGCACTGCTCAGCGTCCCTCCTGTTCCACTGTCAAGGCTATACAGGAGCAAAGCAAATACCAGACAGGATCAATGGCCCTGACTGATGGGCATCAGAGACCCAAAACAAGCAAGAGAACAATTAAACTATAAACAGAAACACATCATTTAATACTAAAGCAGAGCAGACAGTACAACATGTGCTATCCTATAAGTACCTTAAATGTGACAGATGTGATTTCACCTCTGTCAGGACAAGTTAAAAACACCTGAGGGGTAGCAAGGAGCGCTACCAGCTCTTCCCAAGGGCAGCCAGTTCGGTACCCACGCTGTTCACACAGCCTGAATGCCCAGGCAGAGAGCAAATCATGGCCACACTGGCACCATACAAGGGGCATTCCTGGCACTGCTGCACTTCCAGGGTTTGGGTTTCTTTTGGCTGGTGCAGGAGCTGGCTTCAACAGGTCAGAGAAAGGGCAGACTGGGGGAACACACATTAGAGCCATGTAAAATTCACAAAATCGGCCCCGGCAGCTCCAGCAAAGACACCCAGCTCTGAGCCTGGCTGCGGGTTAAACTCCCTCATCTGGGCAACAAACAGAAAGCAGTTTCCAGCAGGAGGACACAACAGACAACACAGGGAAAGCCAGACCTTAAGTTGAGCTGAGTGGAGGCAGGTGAGGAGGCTGAGAAGCTGGGCCAGAAAACACAGCTTTGTCCAGCAGCTGGTGACCGAGGCCTCCCACTCTCGCAGGGCAGAGGGGAGAAGCCATCCGGGAGCCAGCTCGGAAACCTGCTCCGTGTAAACTACAAGCTCTGTGGCACCCTCAGCCTGGCAGCACCCCCAAACCACAAATACTGGGCAGTAGTGACCAAAGCCAGGAACCGACTCTAAACCCAGGAACATCCCACACACGGCAGCATCCCTGAAGCCTGCAGCACGCTGCAAGCCCACCAACACCCCCAAACCCAGAGACACCCCTAAACCTGGCAGCCGGCAGCCACAGACACCCCTCAGCCCCGGCAGCACTCTCCATGCCCACAAACGCACACCCACGACCCGGGGGAGCCCCCACACCTGGCGACAACCTCCGAAACCAGAAATGATGTGTCCCCCCCCCCAACACCGCACGACACCCCCCGAGATCGACCATTGCCCGAAACATGTGGCTGCAAAAGCAGCCCCCGGCAGGGCCCAGCGGGGACCCGCAATGGCGGGGATAGGTACGGGCGCAGGGGGGACAGGAACCGGCAGGAAAGGGGTAGGCCCGCTGCCCGCCCCACTCACCAAAAGCCCCGCCGCGGCAACCCCGCCGCAACGCGGGTCTACGGAAAGCCGCGAGGGCCGTGCCGTGCGGACGGGCGGAAGGGCGGGCGGAGCACGCGTTGCCGGGAGACAGGAGGCCCCGCTGGGCGCGCTGCGGTGTGGAAGGTGCTGAGGGCTCGAGGACAGAGCCCGGGTAACAGGACAGGGTGCGGACGTGCAGCAGAAAACTGAGCCGGCTGCGAGGCGCACAAGGCCCGAAACCCACAGCCAAGGCGCTGGCAGCCAGCCAAGGGCGACCAGCGAAGAGGAAAGTCTGGGGAAGGGGCTGCCAACCCCTTGGAGAGGATAGTGCTCTGGGCCTAGTCCCTCATGCTGCCCCTTGAGAAAGGCAGGGGAGGAGGAAGCCAACCAAGGAGCCTGGAATCTCCCAGTCCAGAGCTGAAGGGCCACCTTTATTGTGCCGGTAGAGGGGGATCACAGTGGTCGCTCAGAGATGAAACACGGTTGGTGCCACTGAGGTGTCCAGGCCGCGCGTCGGGAGTTTGGGCCCGATGTTGCAAGTGGGAGTTGTCTCGCACCCACGTGGGGCTAGCGGGGATGGAGCTGCTGCCGCTGTCTGTCAGTGCTGCAGCTGCCGCTCCCTGATGACTCCTGACTGTCACTGCTGCAGAGCTGCTAGCACATGCTGGGGAGCGCTGGGGTAGCCCCGACACAGCCCGTCTGCGTGCGCTCCTCTATGCGCGTGGTGCTGGCGCGTGGCTGCTCTAACGGCGTCTTTTGCGCCGCGTGTTGGGACTTTGGGCTCGGCGTTGTGAGCGGGAGCGGTCTCGCACCCGCACGGGCCCCGTGGGTCTTGAGGCGCTGTCTCTTTGACGTGTTCTGGAGCCACGGGATGACGCTGATGGCCGCTGTCTTGTTGTGCTGCTGGGGCTGCTGGTCTCCTGTGTCTGAGGTTCCGGACTGTGGCCCGATGCTGCCCGGCTGCTGGGGCTGGGGCTGCTGAACTCCAGTTGCAGAGATCCAGGAGACTGCCCCGATGCTGCTGGGCCGGCTGTGCTGGGACCCGCAAGCTCTGAGGTGGCACTGGTGGCTACAGGGGGAAGCAGGAACATTAAGGGCTTGGCTCCCAGGCCTGGGGCAGGGTAGGCCAGAGCGGTGCCCCAGCCCTCCTGGAGCAGACAGGCTGTGCCAAGCCCACACCAGGCACCCTCTGCCAGGCCTTGCCTGGCCCCTGGCCCCAGCCCAGGGGCACCCGGGTGCTTTGACACTTACAGGTGCCCAGGCCAGCACAGCTCTCACACTCCCAGCTGGCCTCATAGCTGTTTCTCAGGTTCGAGCAGCGTCTGTGAGTGCCCACAGCAGCGCAGGAGCGGCACAGGAACAGCTCCCAGGGCCTGGGGAAAGAAATGGGTTCATGTCTCTAAGGATAAAGTGCCCACAGCATGGGATTGTCCAGCAGAGCTCTTGTTCTCAGCCCTTCTGCTTCGAGCCCTTGCTGAGACAGAGATCCCGTGCCGAGCCCCAGGGTGCAGCTTCGGCAGCTTACCCGTTTGGCTTTGCCACCTGCCTGCCTCCTGGACAAAGGCACTCCCGGGCATCGCAGCTCCCGTGCCTCTGCTGCTGTTCTGCGTATGCGTCGTTGTCTTCCCACGACGCTTGTCTGACGGAGAAAGGAAAATCGATGAGCCCCTGCTGCCCCAGCATCAGGCATATGCAGGGCCTCCCCGCTCTTCCCCCCACACCCTGTTTCCAACTCCTCCGTGGAGCTAAAGCCTACGCTTGGGGGTCGGCGCAGGGCCACAACTGCGGGAGCAGGTCCAGGCGTGGCACAGTGCTGGCTAGGAGGACACCAACCTTACGGGGACTCGGATCCCCATGGAGAGCATTTCTGTTAGAAACTGTCTCCTATTTTGACACAGAGGGCACACAAAGGAAAAAGCGCCAGCATTCATAGCCTGTCCCTGCAGGAGAAACAGAAAGAGCGTGAGTGAGGCTCTGGTGCTGCTGAGAGCCTGCCGTGCCCGGAGCAAGGGACCGGCTCCTACCTGGATGCAGGCCCTGTGGCACCAGGCGTGTTTGCATGCTGGGCACACCATGGTGCCATAGGTGGTTCTGCCTTCCACAGGGTCCATGCAGATGAGGCAGTTGGCGTCCTCTGGAGCCGCCAGCTCTTGCTGCTGTGGGCGGTGCTCCCAGCAGAAGGAACTAGGGGAAGAGGGAAGGGATGGGTGAGATGAGAAGCGCTGGGTCCTTCCCCGGTGGTGGGGAGAAGGGTAGAGGGGGTACCTGTACGGCAGGAGGTAACCGGTGACGCATTCACCCTCCACGGCACAGGGGAGATGGAACCTGCGGTCGCAGCCCGTCTCCTGGCAGCTGATGGTGGCCCCCCTCTTGCCACACACAAAGCAGACCTGGAAAGCGCACAGCAGCCCCCATCAGCGGCAGGCTCAGGGTCTCCACAGCCAGACCCACACCTCGGGGCAGGGCGCAGGATGCGGCCCCGCCTGGATCACAGGCCACCGATCCACCTG